GAGTCCGCGTCCAAAATAAGCGCATGAGTACGCGCAGCATACTCTTGAGTACGCCCAGCGTACTCATTTGCTACCAATTCCTCTTAAGGGCTTAACTTGACACTTTGAATAAAAGAAGGGCTAAATAGTTGTACCTGAATTTCGGGATGTTACATGTGTTCAGATTGGTAATCAGCGGTAAGACCTAGGTCAGCAGTTGAGCTAGCGTAGGAGGTGATGTAAGACTACTGGATATCCGTAGCATTCACCAGTGGCCATATAGCATAGAAGGTGTTGTAAGATTGCGGGATATACGTAGCATTCACCGGCGGCTCGATAACGTGGGGAATATGGTAAGACTGCGGGGTGGCCCGTAGCATTAGTCAGCAGACAGTGCAGAAGTGTTGTCAGACTGCAGGGTGGCCCGTAGCATTCACTAGTTAGCAGGTAGTGTGGAAGTGTTGTAAGACTGCGGTGTGACCTGTAGCATTCACTAGTTGGCAGATAGAGTAGAAACGTTGAAGGACTGCAGGGTGGCCCGTTGCATTCGTTAGTTAGTCGTTATTATGTTGGCATAGTAAGACTGTGGGGTGGCCCGTAGCATTCACTAGTGGTTAGTTAGTATGGGAGTGTTGTAAGACTGCAGGGTGGCCCATAGCATTCACCGGTCCCTATTCGACAGTGAGAATGTGACTGATTTGTGATTCACTCACGGATTCCTCAGATGATATAGGCCAGGGCGGGTCAGCCACACGAATGTGAGTAGGCCACAATATGATCGGATTCTAGAAACGGTAGGTCGTTGAAGACCAGGCGTGATGTAAGACTACAGTGGTTCTGGTAGCATTCACTTTTCGTATTAGGTTCGATGACGATAGGTAGTCAGACTGACATGATGGGGAAGATCAGAAGGAATAATGGAGCCATGAGTGGCAACGTACATGAATTCAGTATTTCAGATAAGTTGGGGACCAGTGAGGTCTCGGTTGCCTTTGGAAAGCAGAAAGAAGGCAGCGTTATGCTTCAGATAGTAGTAATGTTTTGGGGATTCGTGTGTGTGGAGTAGCTCGTCGATCAGAAATGCTAAGTTACTTGCAGTTTGGATTAAATAATCTCAGAGTAATAGATTTGACCCAGTTGCGCAGCTCTCGTCTGAGTCTAACCGTTACAGGGATGAGTCTCTTACTCCAAGGATTATTTGAGCCTACTGTCAAGTATAAAGATTCTGCAGGGATTCAACAGTAATGATTTTATATGGGTGGTCTGTCAGGGAGTCAGACCATCTCGAGACCTCAGATTTCAGATTAAGTAATGTGATCATGATGCAAGGAATTCGTTCATCTTCGGGTTTTAGAAACTTGCGAAGGTTGGTCACGGTTATCCTGGGAAGGCTAGGGTGTGCCCAGGATTGTGGCCATGTTACTCGAGTGGTTTGGCGTGTAAGGAATGGTAAGGAATGATTTCGAGCACGAAATCTAATTTAAGTGGGGGAGAGTTGTAACGCCCCGTTTATTAAATAAATAAAATAGATAAATATTAATAAAGGAATAGTAGCCCCGAATGCGAATAATTTAGCAAGGTGTTGGTTTTGGGGATTAAAAGTTATAATTGAGAGTTTGGCGGTTAAAATGTAGTTTCCGGATTGATTTGTAAAGAATATTTAAGGTTGAGGGCTGTTTAGTAAAATTATGGGTTTAATTTGAAAGGATTTTTGAAGACAGGGGCTGTTTGGTAAGTTTTGGACCTAAAATGAAATGAATTTATGAAATTAGGGGCTAAAGAGTAAAATATGGACTTGGATTGAAAAGAATTGAGAGAGGAGGGACCGGAAGTGCCAAAATGCTAAGAAGTTTCAATGAGACGGGTTAAAACCCGTCACCTCACTCATCCATACTAACCCTAACCCTAAACTTTTGTCAGCCACCATGTGTGACTCCCCAGCCGCCATCGCCATTTGCTCATGCTCCTCCGACAAGTCTCAACATCTTCTCCGTTCGTGATGCTACGTTCTAGCCACACCACCGTCGTGCCCTGCTGTCGGCGACAACGAGAACCACCAGCGAAGCTGTCAGTGCCCGCAGTCACCTCTCCATCGTCCTCCTTTTTCTTCTTCTCTTTTTAGGTTGCCGTTCACAGCCGCACTCGACTGTTACCGGTTTCGTTCCGACCACCACCCGCTTCTGAGACCGTTCCACAGCAGCTAGTCGCCGCCGCCACCGCTTGTACAACCAACGAAGGAGGTTGTTCCATCGCTTCTTCCTCTGACTGCCATGAGCCACCGCGAGGGTGGATGTGATTGGGTGCGTTTCCCTTGCTCAGCTCGTGTCCGTGTGTACGTGCATGCTTTCTGTTGGCCGGAAAAGCGTGGGAACCACCATCACAGCCCACCATGGTGGCCATTACCTTGTTGTCGCCGTATTGTCGACTTCTGCCACCACCGTGAGGTGCTAGCTGCCGCCATGTACCACCGCCGGCCACCACTAGGGTGGCTGTGTGTGTGTTTATGTTAGTTAGTGTGTGTGTGTTTATTTTTGGATTAAAGCATTGTAATTGTAATTAGCAAAAGAATAATGAAAAGAAACTCAAAACCACCACCATAAGGTGGTGACCGCCGCCGTGAGCCGCCGTTGACCACCACTACCCGAGGTGGTAGTGGGTGGTGCCCGACTAAGAAAACCCTAATTGACCTAATGAAACCCTAATGGGCTTAAAGATTTAGTTTTGGGCCTATTGGGCTATTATTGGGTGGGAAACCCTAATTAGGGTTTAGAAAACCCTACTTTTGGATATATGGGCCTTGGACTTATTGGGACCCACATTTGGGCCATTGGAATGGAATTTTGAATTACACCCAATCACACCATATGATTTATCTAGTAGAGTGATGGACTTAATGGATTAAGTCCTTAATGGGTTAAGTGAGAAACACTTAACCCTAATCGTCATTTTATGTGAAAACCCTAATTTCCCTTGGGCCTTGAGTTGGGCCTTTCTTTTGGGCCTCGATGATTGGGTTATTGGTCGTCCATCCAAGAATAATCATATGGACTAGAATATTTAGATGTGCTTTAGGGTAAGACCCATATGTGAGGTTTGGGCCCAATTTGGAAAATTGGGCCACAGATGGGCCATAGTCTGGGCCTTTATGATTATAGGATATGGGCCATTAGAAATGCCAAATGTTGGACTAGACTAAATGGCTGGGCCTTAAGGGAAGATCATGTATAGGTTTAGGCCCAATTTGGAAAATTGGGCCATATGTTGGGCTTTGACTCATAGTTGACTTTTGGGCCTTTGGATTGGGCCTTGGGCTTGAGTCAAGCTAAGTTGGGGGTAAAGTAGCCTTTTACCCTAAGCATGGACTTATGGATATGTCAGACAGTAGCCTTTAATTGGGTGTTGTTTTGATGATTGACAATTTGGGGATCTGTCAGCCAGTAGCCACGGATTTATTCGCGGGACTTCAGCAGTGCGAGGTGAGTCTCCTCACTGTGTGTATGGGTCTACGGCCACAATGCCGGCCCATTTAGTTTATGTATGGCACACTGTATGCTATTATGTATGGTAGGAAGACCCGAGGGTTAGCCCTAGGCATTATGTATGAAAGACCAGGAGGTGGCTCCTGGCACACTGTATGCTATTATGTATGAAAGACCAGGAGGTGGCTCCTGGCACACTGTATGTTGATTAGCCAAGTAGAGTAGTATGTATGATAGTTGTCTTTGTGATGCTTGCATGGAAGACCAGGAGGTGGCTCTTGGCAGTTGTCTGTATGACCCAGGGGTGGCCCCCGGCTTGGCAAGAAAGACCACGTGGCAGCCCGTGGCATAATGGCAAGACTATGTTTTGGCACATAGCATTTTATTTGGTTATGATATATGTATGGCTCATGGTTATGTATGGCATGTATGGATCAGTTGATATGTATGGTATGTGGTATCTGGGGAACTCACTAAGCTTCGTGCTTACGACTTTCAGCTTTTGTTTCAGGTACTTATGTTTTCAAATGAAGGAGCTCAGGGCGATCGCAGCGCATCACAATATATTTTCCGCACTATATGATCTTGGTATTATTACTCTGATAATTGTTTTATGTAGAATGCTTTTCAATGTTTTGAGCAAAGTTACTAAGTGGTTTTAATTAAATTTAAAATGAAATTTTTGGCCATGATTTTTGGGATGTTACAATCCCTCTTTCTATTGACTGTAGGTCTGCCTGGTAATATTCTACGTTTCGGGGGCAACATAGTTTGACCAATATTAGTTGGCCACATCTCACTTCCCTTTAAGGGCTTAATTGTATACCTATAGCAATTTCCAAACATTTGTGGTGTGGACCAAATTGCCACATACTCTTCCACATTCTTATTTAGATAACTAATAGCAGCCATGACATGTACACATGGTATACCAGTTAGTTGCCATCCTCTACATGCACATGTTTTTTGGTTCAAGTACACAACATAAACCTCATGTACTGAACCCACTTCAAATTGTTGCACTCCACTTGCAATTACATGCCAATACATGTAAAACAAAGGAATATTGTATGGAAGTAGTACATGGGAATCAATTTACATGGTTGGAATACAATAAAAGTATACATACCTTAGATGTTTCCTCATTTCCACTATTTTCCTTCTAATAGATGGACGTATGTCTAGATTCCATTTTTGCCCCTTCATTCTTTTACAGTACATCCTATCCATCACAAACCTCCTAATTTCTTCTAACATTAAATGATTCACAAATACCATTCTCAATGGCATCACAACACTGTCCAATACAAAAAAGCCCGAGAACAGATTTTTGGATCTCTTTCCATCAAGTGATCATAGGCTTGTATATCAATCACCCCAATCTCTTTCATTATACCTTCAAACCTTTGGACAGTTGTCGCCTTTGCAGCCCTCCAAAAAAGCTTCCTATATTCAGCACCCCTAATTTTTTTCTTGAAATTAGCATAGATGTGCCTAGCACATTGTCTATGCTCAACATTTGGTACTTTTTCTTTAACAACCTCAATAAGACCCTAAACATTCAAGACAAATAAAATAGTAAGATAAATAAAACAATAACCAATTAAAATACAGTTAAAGATTGTGAAAACATACCTTGCGTTGGTCAGAAAGTAAGGTTAATCCTTCTCTATTTCATATGTTAATGTCATTAAGAAGTAGGTCTAGAAACCACTTCCAAGTTTCTTTGTTCTCAACTGCAACTACTGTCCAAGCAATGGGGTAGATATGGTTGTTAGCGTCTCTTCCTACGGCTGAAAGGAGCTCACCTCTGCAAATACCTTTTGAAAAACAACCATCTACTCCTATAACCCTCCTGCATCCTTCAATCCAACCATCCTTTACACCTTTGATAAAAACATACACCCTTGAAAAATAAACTGTGGAATCAAGCATTATATCTGTCCCAGTTTTCACTATTGACCCTGGATTTGCTCTCAATATCTCAGCTCCATAACTCCATAACTTTTCATAATGTGAGTTCAAACTGCCTTCAATCTCATTTAGTGCAAACTTCTTTGCATTCCTACATTGTCCAACACTAACCTTCACATTGAATTTTTCCCCAACTTTAGTCCTCATTTCCCTACAACTCATTTTGGTATTTTCTAAAATATCATTAACAAAATGTTTCCCTATCCATGAGTATGTCACAACTGACCCAAACTTGAAGGTTCTAGCACAGTTATGCTCATTAATTAAGGACTTAATTTGGAATGAATTTTCACTACTCATCCATGTAGCCCATAGTCTAAAAGGACATGTTGCCTTTCCTTCACTAGTTTTACAACACTTGACTAGCAACCTAGTTTTATCATTTTTTTTCGTACCAAAGGTTAAAACCGTTTGCTACTACGTAGTTGGATACAAGTTGTTTAAGTTCTTGAGGGTTACAAAACCTCATACCAAGGATGGGTTGCCTTGTATCCCATTTCTGATTTGTGTCATGAAAAGGATAAACTGGGGCTTGTTTGGTTCCATTATCTGAATCATCATCCTCATCTGCAACATCATCTCTAGGGATAACACTAATATGGTTAAGAAAGGGATCATCAGACTTAGTCAATGGTATTACCTCTTTATCGGGTTCATGATCAACAGATAGAGCATCAGACATGACCGAGTCCGTATCTTCATCAGAGCTTTCACTATCAACACCTTCTTCTTCTTTTTCTTCCTCTATCCAGTCAAATACCGGTTCATTGTAGTGATCAACATATACATTAATCTTCCCCTCATTACCATTTGCAGCATCAAGAAACCTAGTGTAGTCATCGTCATCTGTCAATGGTCTCAACCCATCACGCAGTGACTTATGCCCAAGACAATAGTAGACATCATGACACTTCCCTTCGTGAAATCTTCAAGAACATCAATGAACTCCTTGAAATTTAATCCACCAAAATCGACATCTGTAATTGAAGTGTTTAGGTGCATGTAGTAGATAAGAGGTTTGGGGGAAAATATTCCCTGGTACTGAACAACTACTTGAATAAAAGTTGATCCTTTTGCATTAGATGGACCAACCATCCTCGATTTCTCAAAGAAAAGCTTCGATTGCGTGAGAAAACCCACAACACGTGTTTGTTTTGAGAAACCCTAATTTCCACAGACCATTTTGATTTTGAGAGTGTTTACGTGGGAGACGGGTGATTAATGGCCATGTAATCATACATAGTTGGGTGTAATAGCCACATAAACATACCTAATTTCCACGTCACATATTTTTTATTATTTTTAATTATAAATTACCGGGATTACCTCTTGTATTCTGTTGCCAATGGTAAAATGTGTACATGAAACACATATTAATTGTATTTTTTTTATAAAAAAAGATGAATGCTATATTTTGAACACGGGTCAAAGATGGTTACCATTACAAGTCATTTTCCCAAACCTAAATGCCCCTTCTCTCCCTTGTTGCTAAGGTACCAAAGTAACCTTCAATACATCATCTTCATTCTTGATGCAATCTTTGAACAAAGTTATTAGAAGTAAATCCACCTATTATTTGAAACAAAAAATTTCTTCGGAAATATATTAGTAAAAAATGAAAAATATTTGAAGATTGAAAGATTGTAAGAATTTCAAATCATAAAAATATTTTTGGATTTTCTGTCTTAAGAAAAGAAAATTATTGAATGAAAACTACTAAATTGAAAAAAGAAAAATATTATTGTGAAACATTTTTAAACAAGTTTAAGAAAATCCATTGAATTTAAAGAATGAAGTACCATTTCAAAATTTTATATGATTAACAATTATTCGTTATTTAGATATCCAAGAATATTTACACAAAACTTCTAAAAATGTATGGCAATATTCTAGATTCGCAATTTGTGTAAAATGGATAGCAAATTGAGGATTTCACAATTACTATGTAAAGAAACAAACAAAACTAATTTTCACATCAAAATATGGAACATCTTATACTTCAGCTATTTGAATAGCCCAATAAACCAATAAATTAGGGACAGAATTTCTCGTTCTTGACTTGAGAATACCAAAAGTATGAATTCGAATGTAGATTCACCCTTCACTCTTTTTTGTTAAATTAGTCCTCAGGTATAAGTTGTCCCTTTAATGAAAAAAATAGATTTGTAGCATATTAAAGAAGAATTTTGAAATAAAATGATTAGATTAATCAATCTTGAAGCAAATCTAAGAACCACGTAGTACCATATGATTGAAATATCATTTAGTATATTCAAAACAAATTTAAGTAAAATATTGAATTTAAGTAATAGTTGAAGCTATCATAAGAGTAATGAAATTATCATGAATATCCAGATGAAAACGAATGAAATTGATTATAGAAAATTTGAGAAATTTTATGAAGAGTTGAAAATTTTCAAGAAGGTGATTAACTAGAATTAAAAAATATTCTTAAGTTTCAAAACATAAACGAAAATTACAGAATTGAGATTTTGTTAATGTAATAAAATGAGTAAAATCAATAAAAATGAACGGAAATATTATAAGATGAAAGTAAAAAAAGAAACAAAATAAAAAGACTTATCGAAGAGGATTGAAGCTTCGCTAATGAACAATAATTATGGATTTTTTTTAGTATATAGAGAACTTATATGGGTTTCGGGTGTTGCTCCATTTCCAACATACTAAGGCTAACAATAACAATAAGAAATGTTGTTTCATATAGAGCTATGGTAAAGATGTCATCCAATTGTTTTGTTGGGATTTCAATATTTTCTTCTTGGATTTGATCTTTGATAAAATGACAGTGAAGGTCAATGTGTTTTGTCTTCGAGTGTTGAGCTAGATTATGAAAAATGTGTGTTGTACTCTTCGAATCACAAAACAAAATAATACTTTTCATATTGAAACCATAATCTTTTAGTTGACGTTGCATACATATATCCTATGAGCAACATGCAGCAGCCGCAATATATTTGGCTTGAACAGTTGAAATTGAAACAATAGTTTGTTTCTTCAGTTGCTAACTAATTAGTTTTCCACCAAGAAATTGACAGTTACTAGTAATACTCTTTCGATCCAAGCGACACCCATCAAGATCAACAACAAAGTATGCATGAATAAAGAAATTTGTTTCAACAATTTTACTATATTCCTAACAAAGGTGTCTTGTGTATATATCGAAAAATATTCTTCACTGCAGTTTAGTGTGGTTCTTTTATATTCGACTGACACCCTACACAATAACACATGGAAAACATTATATTTGTTTTGCTTGTTGTTAAGTAATGTAAATAACCAATCATGCTTCGATATTTTATTGATCTACAATAGGTTTATCTAACAAAGGACTAAACATTGTGACAAAAGCCATAGTGACTTTCACATCCGGACTATTTTCCATATCGAAGTGTGTTAAAAGTTGTTAGGTCATATTTTGTTGGTTTGAGCCAGGCATCAATCTGTATAGGTCTTGATAGGGTTTGGTCATGTAATGTATGAGTGTACGGTTGTGTGTTTGCGGCTGTATGGGTGTTCACGGCCGTGAACCTGTTTACGGCCGTGAAAGTGTTCTCGGTCTTGGTCCCTTCTAAATAGCGTGTCAGATGTGTCAGATGTATGACAGTTGCATGTGTGTGTTATCCAAGTGTACCAGACGTTTACGGCCCTAATAGAATGTGTGCATTTTTGGATTGATCTTGCTTCTACTCCTTTTTATCCTTATTGATTACAACTTGATTGTGTGTCTGATCACTAGTTGGTTCCAGATTTGGGGACTTACAACTGGTATCAGAGCCAATCTAGTGTCAAACTAGTTCAAGTTAAGTTTGCGGTTGGAGGATTCTTCATTTTCGTGACTGTTTCAAGCTTGGTTGCTGAGTTTCTACATTTGCTCGTGAAGTTCAAGGCCAAAGGAATCGAAATTTGCTCAAAATCATCTGTTTTTCGTCAAAATCTGAGTGTTTACGGCTTCATCTGTTGAATTGTTTACGGCCGTGAATCAGTCATCTCAATTGGACCGTGAACCATTCATTGGACTGTGAATCATTCATTAGCTGTGGATCAACTCTTATGTACGGCCGTGAACCCTTTGCGGCCGTGAACCCCTCTTGGTTATAGAACTCTTTTCGTTTTCGGTTACACTTTCATTTCAAGTCTTGTTTTTCATTCTAATTAACAAAAATTAAGAAAATGGAACCGCAAAACATTCCGATCAATGAAGTTTCATGCTCTAAATCTTGTGAAACTACTGTTAAATTTTTACGTGAACAAATCGAATTATTGCGTAGAGAGAACGAGGACCTAAAATACGAATGCTATACCCTTAGGAAAGGACAGAAACCCCTGAAAGCACAATTAGAAGCAAAAACCAAAGATTTTAGGAAACTTAAGGAAGAGTACAACAATAAATGTGCAAACTATAGATATGTGACAAAACAACTTGCTGAGTTTGAAAATGCAGATTTTAATTTCAGAAAATTTGATGTGTCAAGTGAAGTAGTTGCGTCAATGATAGAAAATAGTTTGAAATTTAAAGATAACCAGCAAAAGGGTTTAGGGTATGATAAAGTTCCTCCTCCTTTTAATCACACTTATCCGTTTAACCCTTTAACCAAAGAAGAAATGAACAGAGAGGCACATCTCAAATATGGCAAACCTGCTGTATTTGTGCCGGAAAGTGGTCCTAAGGTTGAGAATACTAATGTTTCTACTTCCTATGCAGATCCACCATTAAGTCATTGCAAGCAAGCAGCTGAAGAGAGTGTGTCTGATAATAAAATTGTTTCAGAATCTAATGTTTTTGTTTCAAACGATGCTACTTTTTTTTCTGACTCGAAAACTAATGTTTTGTCTTGTGATGATTCTGTGTCAAAGTCTGATGACTCAATTTTTTTTTGATATGTTTGATGATCTGTTTAATAATTCTGATGTTCCTGTTACGAGCACATCCACTCCACCCTCACTAGTCACACAACCTGATTCTTGCACATGTACTTGTGGGAAGAGTAAGGGTGTCATTAAAGAAAATAAACCAGAAAAGGGCGGTACCTACTTTTATGCTAAGAAACAGACATGCTTTAACTGTGGTACTGCTGGTCATATTGCTCGCAACTGTCCAAATCGGGCATTTGTTCCTTTTTATGCACATAGAAGAGAGAACGAGTCACAAGGAAGATCTCTCGTTAGAAAATTCTCGAGATCTCGTTCTCATGATGGTGATTGGAATGTTAATAAACACAGAAAACGGGCTGAGCTTTCAAAGAATAAACGGGTTTTAGATGATAATTCAAATGGTACTTTAGGGAAATCGAACGTGGCTAAGCCAAGATCGGATTCGTTAAAGTCTTCTTCTGGGTCCTCAGCTAATTCTAGACGAAAACCCAAACGATCAAAACCAAAGAAAAATATTTCAAAATCACATGTGTAACACCAGTCAAAATAGGTCAATAACAATCACATGTGATTATGCTAATCATGTAATGTGATTTTGTTAAACTAATAATGTGATAAACGTGCTATGTAGTTCATGATAAATTCTAATACAAATATGAACTTTCTTTATGATACAACTCAAAGTATACGTCCATACGATTCCAAAAATATAGAGAACGTCTGAATCTGACTTCGCATGAAGAAGTTATGATAAACCGAACACTATAAATCTCTATAATAAGAGGAATTTAAAATAGACTTAGAATTAGCTATTTGAGTCTAAAAGAGAGTTGTAGTACTCGTAAATACCTACGCATGCATATAAAGAACGTCAAAAACGGAGTTCGTATGCAAAAGTTACGACCTTCCGAAGATACAGTTGTCAGAAACCCTAATCTGCCTGAACTCACGAGGTGAGCATAGATGTTCACGAGGTGAGGAGTCATTTTGCCACATCTCGGAATCTAGAATGTGTGACGACGCTACGAGGGGATGAGATCCAAACTCACGACGTGAGCAAGGATCGATTCACGTCGTGAGGAGTCAAAGGGACACCATCCGAAGCTAGGGACGCAAATGGCAAGTCTACGAGATGATCATGCTTGACTCACGACGTGAGTCTTATAAAACTCACGACGTGAGGGTCCAAAATCCTTCCTATAAATAGTAGGTCCGACTTCAGCTATTCCTACACCTGAACTTCTTCCCTTTCTCTCATTTGCTGAAGCCCTCTTGCATCCCGAGCCCCGACGACCTCGTACGCTGACCGTTTCTGCTTAGATTACATAAAATCACG